CAATGGATTGGGTCCTAACCGCCGGCCACTGTGTAAACGAGTATGTAATCAATCAATTTTTACTTATATATCATTGATATACTATCAACAATAATAATTATTGTTAATGTATTTAATAAATTTCTATTAATTATTGATGGATTTAATTAATTAGGAATGAGACAAATGTAAAATTAATAGAAATACAAGTGGGAAATCATCTGCACTTTCCAATAGACAAGAGACAAGTAATAAACTATATCAAACATCCGGACGCCAATCAAACAGACTATACGACAGACATCGGTTTGATTCAATTGCAGGCGCCATTCGTGCGCCAAAATGACCAAGTTCATCAACCACTGGGTGTTAACACTATATGTTTGCCAGTATACCTGTACCTAATGTGCCGCCCGCTGTGGCCCTGTGACAAGCCCAAGCCATACCGAAGGTGGTCAACCAACCGGCTGCTGTTGCTTATGGATGTTTCGCCACTGAAACTTAACACCTTCTTATGTACTAGAGATACGTGTGAATTGAAGGGCATATGTATGAGTTCCCATTTAAACAAGGGCACAGTCAACAGAACCCGTACCTGCTATGTAAGTGCGCTATTATGAACATGTTATCAAAAATTATCATTGATTTTGCGCTCATTGAATGGTGCAGGGAGATTCTGGTAGTGGTTTAGTACAGTATATCGATAAATACCGGACTAAAGCCATTGTGGTTGGCATTCATTCGGGTTCCGATGGTATCATCGGTTTCTGCGCTTACCGTTCAGCTTATGAGACAAATGTCTCGTTTCATATTCAATGGATTTTGGATACCATTGCAAACAATACAAGCATTTAGTAATTTTATGTTTTATTGTATAATTCAAACATTATTTATTAACGCTTTCATGTAGTGATAAATGTCTAAATTACCGGTTTTAATAACTAACTATATTATTAAATTAATTAATTAAAAGTATTTAATAATTTTTGTCAGATTTACATGATTTAATATTCACTATAAATTATAGTAAATAATCAATAATTATGTTTTCTTTAAGTGTAAAATTTCATAAATCATTAATTAATTTTGTGACAACTTATCGAAATACATATCCAGATATTTATTAATCTCATCGGGAGTTAAATCCAAATGCTTTAACGCATTCATCGACAGAAGGTCTTCGGGAAAAGCCCACTCCTGTCGGGGACCGTCCAGTCGGACAGGTATGACATCTTCGGGCATAAAGTCTCGCAACTCGTGTCTACCAATGAATTTAACTCGTTTTTTAATGTGATTTGACACAAATGTAAGCATTAGTCGCGTGAATGCGTTCAAAACGGACGGCAAATCGACGACAATTATCCTCCGCAAGAGTTGTGGATAGTATGCCATCAATTGAATCCGAAAGCGCATCAACTCGTAGTTGGCGTTCAGCAAACCGGCGCCCCTTATGTCCGACACCAGAGTATAGCCGTCGGCGGCCACCCGTCCATCCAATCGGTGAACGATATGAGCCATAAACTGCTTCTGAAGTGTCATCAGAGATGCGGACACTTTGCGCCGATCGTTACGATAGCACTCCCACTGTATGAGCCGTCCCTCTCTGTCGCGACCAAAACACTCTTTGTCTCCCAATTGATAGAACTCTTTGGGAAAGTACTGATCGCTGCGGCGGTGAACGCCAAAGGAGTGCCGCCACCGCAACGACCGTATCATCGAGTCGTAGGCCTTGTCTTCGGCCGAAAACTCCATCACAAACCTCTCGATCTCCCAATCGTTTGACACAACTTTATTGGCGTCCGTTTTGTCGTATAAATCGACGTTTGTTTTGTATTCTTCGGCGAAACGGTTCCGCATTCTCTCGACAATTGTCTTATTTTCCATTATTTGTGTTAAAATTCATTCACTATTGAAATATTTAAATAAAAACCTATTTATAAGTTATAGATTATAACTAATTAACAAATTACTAAAACTAATATCTATTTAAACATTATGGTAGAGGTAATGTACCTAGGTTATTGGCTGATATATGATAAACATATGATCAATTTCTCATATATAACGCTTAAATTGCAATTATTATGAAACAACAAAATTGATTACATCGTTCATAATGTCATGAGATTTATAACTTACAAAATATTTAAAATAATAATCACTTAAAAATATCAATTAAATGTTAGCATTTTATTGTGTGATTGGCTTATAGTCTGATAATAGAAAACTAATTACATTTTATATTTCAATAGATTTAGATATTAAGGAAATATATAATAAAATTTATATATTAATTACAATTTTACAGACAAAGCAATAAAATTAAAACATACACTTGTTTTATAAGTAGTTTTAATGATTTAAGTAATGGTTGAGTTATAATTAGTTGTTAGGGTTTATTGAGTAAAAACTGATTAATACTTTTAAACAAATCAAAATAAAATAATAAAAACACCAAATCAATGATTAAATGCAGAAATTGATCTACAATTAAGACTATTATCTCAAAATATGACATCAATTAAGAAAATTTCAAATCTAATTAAACGCTTAAATATATGGCTTAAGAAACACGAGTTAGAAAAACATAAAAATGACAAAAAAAGTGATAAAAACAATAATTCAATTCGTAATACAATATATAATGAAAAGACAATACATTGAAAACACGGCCAGACATTCATCGGTTGCCGGGATCGCCGACACCGCGTATACGGCGAACGACTCGCATATCTCTGGGCATAATTGTCACGCGTTTGGCATTAATGGCCACAATATTGGTGTCCTCGAAGAGACCGATGAGATAGGCTTCGGTGGCCTCCTGTATGGCCATAAGCGCCGAGTGTTGCCATCGGATGGCGTTCGACGGGTAGATGTCCTGAAGTATTTCGCGTATGAGTCGAGCGAACGGCAGTTTCCGCACCAATAGATCGGTGGTGTTCTGGAAGCGGCGGATCTCTCTCAGGGCAACGGTTCCGGGTCTGTAGCGTTTGCGCCGATGACCACTGGTGGCGGTGCCGTCCGCGTGAGTGTCGCCGTCCGGTCGCCGCGCTTTGGGCGCCGACTGTTTGCGCGACTTCTTGGCCGACAGTCGCTGTCGTTTTGCCGCCAAAGTCTTGCCACTCGTCGTCGCCGCCAATGGTGTGGACGTCGACCGCACGGGAGTTGAGGCCACTTTCGCAGGTGTTCTCGTCATAATCGGGTCTTCAGTGGTGTTGTTGTGGTTGCGGTCGTCGACGGATGTGAGCACTGATTGTGACAATCAATTCAATCAAATGTAAGACACGATTGGCTTTTGAGTTGTGTTTTGTGTTGTTTTCACTCACTTTCATATCATTTCCCTCCACTTCTCCCATTGGCTCACACTTTAGGGCCATTCATACCATACGTCCACTCATTGCCCCCAAAGCCATGCTTTTCTATACAAATGTTGTATTTTATTTATTGACGTAATTTATGTTCAAACCATTGCATAGTAAATGTATTGGCGTTTGGTTTAAGTTTAAAACCAAATTAAAAGTAAATCAAAAGTAAATCAATTGTTTATAAATTGCAAAATAAATCAATTTTATTAGTTTTGTAAACATTAGCCAAAATTATAATCAATTTCTCATTACATTTGTTATATTAGTGTATAATTTAAAGCCTAAAACTTGTGGTCAAAAATCACGTCTCAATCGCCAGTTTTGGGCGAACTCTTGGGCGACGACTCGGCGGCGACGGACGGAGTGGTCGGCGGTCGCACTCCGTCGGGAGTGTCCTTACGGTCGGGCGACGGGAGGGGACTCTCGCGGACAGAGGCGGCGGCGGTCTTAGGGCTGACGGACACCGGCGGCGAACCCGCGACTGTGACGACAGGTCTGGGCTCAATGGCGGTCACGTATTGGTCGATCACTTTGGTGTAGTCGTTGTTGTACTCCTTGGACGACATGATTGAGTCCAATCGCGGGAATCGGCGGAGTGTGTAGTGACTGACGCGGAAGACACTAAGGATGCGCTCAAACATGACCTCGTCGTACACCGAACGGGCGGTGTTTGTCCGGTTGAACGGCTCCTCAACGCACAGGAACTTCCAGTGGTTGTATGAGTTGTCGTCAGACTTGTATCGCTGGACCACGTGTTTGGGCAATACGTGTGCCGTCCGGACAGAGAGGGCGTCTTTGGCGAAGCAGAAGGAGTAGCTATAGTACTCGAGGAAACCCAGCAATAGGTCCCGCAGTGACGAGTTGTTCAACGATTTCCAGCTCTTGGGCTTCCGATTGGTGCGCAAGGCGTGCATCGCCTCCTTCACGGTATAGCCGTTGGGATTCAACTGCTGAAGACATGGCAACACTGGCGGACTGCACGCGTCTGTTGGCGATTAAGTGCGAGAATTGATTAGTTTTTTAAAAATATATTAATCGGTGGGAAAGTATTGGCCAATAAATGGTCACTATTTGCGATATAATGGCCGAAACGAAAGGACTAAATGACATGACAAATGGGACTCACATTGAAGATAATGGATGACCATTAGGACTAAGCTGTAACTAGGAGTGTGTAGTGACTGACGCGGAAGACACTAAGGATGCGCTCAAACATGACCTCGTCGTACACCGAACGGGCGGTGTTTGTCCGGTTGAACGGCTCCTCAACGCACAGGAACTTCCAGTGGTTGTAGGAGTTGTCGTCAGACTTGTATCGCTGGACCACGTGTTTGGGCAATACGTGTGCCGTCCGGACAGAGAGGGCGTCCTTCGCGAAACAGAAGCTATAGCTGTAGTACTCGAGGAAACCCAGCAATAGGTCCCGCAGTGACGAGTTGTTCAACGATTTCCAGCTCTTGGGCTTCCGATTGGTGCGCAAGGCGTGCATCGCCTCCTTCACGGTATAGCCGTTGGGGTTCAACTGCTGAAGACATGGCAACACTGGCGGACTGCACGCGTCTGTTGGCGTTTAAGTGCGAGAATTGATTAGTTTTTAAAAAAATATATTAATCGCACCCTTTCATAACCGGTTATTTACCAGTGATAAACGCTATATTACCGGCTTTGCTTTCCTGATTTACTGTACTGTTTACCCTGAGTGTAACTTCTATTACCTACTGGTAATCCTGATTCGACATTGAGGAGATCGATTTATTGTAGGCGTCGTTAATGCCATGATCTTTAGCCCACGCTTTGATTACCATCGCTAATGGCTTCACTCGAGAGTCCACTGGAGAACGTGGTAACAGATGGCGAAGAAGTTAATGTCATTGTTGTTCAATACGTAATCTTTATATTATTTTTGTTTTGTTACTTACATTTGACGTAATCGTGGATCAGAACAGTGTTGCGAATGGACACCAATTTGTTAACATTGAGAGTCACTTCGATGCCCGATATCCTGTCCACGAATTTCAAGATCGGGACTTTGGCCATAATTATCTGCATATTCAGCACAAAATCTATTGATTGAATAAAGGGTTTTAATTATCTCATAATATTTAGCGCTGTTTTTAGTGGCATTACTGTAGTTCTTGAGCACTTCCTCCACTTTCTTGAGCATTGGAATCGACGGATCGGTTGACGAGACACTGCCGGCGCCGCTGGCCATCGATCGGGGACTCTCACAGGCGGTCACATTCAACTTCTCGCCGTCCGACTCGTAATTTATAATAGCCTTCAATTCATCGGTCTTTTCGACCACCGGTTTGGTCTCCACTGCCGGGTCGACCACCGCTGGCTCGGGAGTGGAGGTCTCCTTCTCAACCGAGTCCAAGAGGTCGTCTCGAGTCACCGAGATCAGATCCAAATTGATTAAACTGTCCCTATTGTCCGATTCCTTCAAGGGTTCCACGTGTTTCACATCCTTTGCCGACCGCTTCTCCACGATTTCGGTCATCACGAGACAGATGTCAACGTCTGACTTGTTGTTCGCCAGTCCGTTGGCCGACGACCCGACGATAAACGGTTCCACTTCTTTGAGGTGTCATTATATAGATATGAATATTAAGTATTAAACCACTTCATCAGTACTGACCGTAATTCGGGAAATTAGAGCTCAATATCTTATGCAACGCGTCCTTTAGGTGAGTCTTACGGGTCAACCGCTCGGGTGTCTGTTCGTTGTCCATCCCGTGGTTCTCCATTTCGCGCGTCAACTATTCAAATGAAATTATTAGCCGATAATTACTTACAATTAAACCCAATGTAATCATCCAAACCACGTCTCCTCTATTAAATTTTCTCCTTTGATAGTAGTTTCGATGGCCAGCACTGCGGCCCTCATTCCTACGATATCCGCCACTCCAGCGCTGGTCACGCGTGTGGTTACGGCCGTAATCCGAAGTCACGGTACCGACCGATTGGCCGCCCATTGAGGCGTTGGACTGCGCGCGCTCTCGGAAACGACTGTTTTGACGATCGGTAGGCGGTTGGAAGCGGTACTGATCCAAAGTGCCGGCGCCGTTACCGCTGTCTGCGTAATACCACTGCGGCTTCTTCTGTCCGCCACTCCTCTGGTGATAGTGTTGTTGCTGTTGGTGTTGGTGCTGATGATGCTGTTGTTGGTTGTAGTGCTGGTGATCATCAGACATGTGGCCGATGGCCGGCATTCCCAGAGAGGAAGCGGTGGAATCGGCTCGCATTTTGCGATTTCGGTTACGGTTCGCGCGGTTGCGTTTGGCTTTGGGAGCGTTGGTCTGGAAGAGTGATCATCAGACATGTGGCCGATGGCCGGCATTCCCAGAGAGGAAGCGGTGGAATCGGCTCGCATTTTGCGATTTCGGTTACGGTTCGCGCGGTTGCGTTTGGCTTTGGGAGCGTTGGTCTGGAAGCTGTCAAACGCGAAGGGAAAGCCCACCGCCGGTGACTGAGACTGGATGTGAGTGTGACTCGAATGGTGAGACATTTCCGCTGAAGACACACTTCTTGGATACCAATTCAGCGATTGATTTGAGAGTTAGCGACGAAAGTGAAGATATAAACGCCTATTGAGTCTGAAAACAAAGAAAGTTATAAAGAAATAACTATTTTAGCGTTAATTGCAAATGAATTAAACGCTTACAATGAGAGCCACGTCTAGAGCTATACTGAGACTCTATCCGATGACATCCCTGTCTTATATGTGTTGTAATCTCTTATCCATCAGCCAATCGGTCAGTGTTTGGAATTACACTCAAATTGAAACAACTTTTTTCAATATTGAGTTTATATGCATTCATAGGACTATAGTTTGTGCACTTTTTTCACAGACAATAGAGAATTGTGTTTAAATCTCTTTTTTATTGGAAAATTTTCATTAAAAATTAATTTTCTATGAAATATTACTGGAAATGATAAATAATTAAATAATGGATTATTATTCAGTAAATTGACTAAACAATACAATTTTATTGCAACTTAATGTTATTTATAGAAAAATTTTCATTAAAAATTAATTTTCTATGAAATATTACTGGAAATGATAAATAATTAAATAATGGATTATTATTCAGTAAATTGACTAAACAATACAATTTTATTGCAACTTAATGTTATTTATAGAACCTGGGTCTTTTCCAGTTATTGACACTAATGAAAGTAATTTTAAGTTTAAAAAATTTACACCTTTTAGGTTGTATTTAAGTAGTGATTGATTCTTATTATAAAGTTGATGAGAGTAAGTTTATCAATAGTTGGATATAATCTATAACATTTGCAACATAACTAATCTGTAACATTTTACATGACTAATAATATATTATTCAATCATATGGTTTATCAAAGTAATATAAGCACGATTGTTTTTAAAATTATAAATGGTAATAAAACAAAATGTAACTTTAATTGTGAATTAATAAAAATCGATTTACAACAACATTGAGATCTATTTGAATTAATAAGAAAATATGAATTTTATTTTATAAAAGTTTTAATTAAATAATCGATAAGTGAATAATTGAATTCAGTGTATCGTATGCGCCTAATTATTGATCAATGTATTTTAAATCTGTTCAAACAAACCGGTGATTTATTAACGAAATTTTTATTTAATGACTCTTTCGAGCGAATTGAATGCCTGTATATAACAATACAATACATTATACACGCTATATATGGTGTAGAAATCCATTACCAAATGATTGCAATTGTTTCAATCGACGAGAAATTTTGTTTTATATTTAATTTTGTGAGTTTTTCGCCAAAAACTTATTATCGTTTGATTGCATCGAATAAGTCTTATAAGTTATTTACTGTATATCTGAGACTAAACTAAATATAACTTTAAAATTGATGCCCCGAGACGTTGAGCACCCGTTCAATAATCCACTCGTTAAACAATATAATGGTTGAGAAAAGTGAGGCCCAAATAAAAGTGATTTCATTGATTTGACAGCAATTGGGAGCCCATATTCGCTACGCTATATCGGGTGTAATATTTAATAATAATAATATCGGCTATTGTTTTGATGAATTACTGTTAATAGTAACTCTGTATATACTGTACTATGTCTTCAAAAAACTAGATTAATATTAGTGTCGATTCTTATACTGTACTGTATGTGAAATGTTATTGTTGTTCAAAATACAATGTTTGGCACCAATATGTTCGGCACCACCAGTTTTCTGGACTCCCGTCTCAACACACATCGATCGCATTGATCCCAATTATAAGTCTCTCTCTCTCTCTCTCTCTCTCTCTCTCTCTCTCTTGCATTTTATTTTTGTTTGACTCTCTTATTGTGCGATATATCGATGTCTTTTTGCGATGACTGAGAAATATTGCTTTCAATTTCTATTTCTATTTCTTGACTTTTCTTTTCGTATTTTTCTTTCATATATCCATAGCTTTGAGATAAGAGGTGTTAAACATTGTTAAGTGTGAAACTGGTGGTGAGCTCAGGGAGGAGGGGGAGGGCATTGTGTGGGGGAACGACCAGTTATGGACAACACCCGAGACTGAATCATATGAGTGTTTGGCTTAAGATATTGCAAAAAGAATATCTACTTTACTATAAATGGATTAAAATTGTATGAAATCCTCACAAAATCCAATTGAATAGATATTGGAATTGAGTATAGAATCAATGTGTTTGTGTAAGAGGAGAGAGAGAGGGAGGGGGAGAGAGAGAGAGAGAGAGAGAGAGAGAAAGAGAGCAGAAAAAAGTTAAGCAAAAGTTAACTCAAATCTATAATTCCCTTCTCTTCTACGAAAACATGTCATTCAATCGTGAATTAGATTTTGAGACTTGATTTGGACGACAATAAGTCAAATGATAATAAGCAGTGAATGACTGGAGAGTGAGATTCGCGACACATTCTCAACACACAGAATATTCTGTACACTATTTTATACACTGAAGAATACAATACAATATACAGTATTATATAGTTTTTTATCAGTCAAAAAGACAACAAAATAAGGCTCAGAGTTATGTAAGACCAGAACCGCTGAACAATAATAAACTACACTATTTTAAAAAAAGTTTAACAATTTTGTTTTTTAAAAACTACCATAATAATAAATGATATCAAAAATTCTATTTATAAACAACCATATATTATTGATTAAAAACTACTACTGGTGTTTTGCACCACGTTTCTTTAGCTCATACTTTCAATGGGTACACCTTTTTTTCTCTCTCAATGTTCATCCTTTAAAAAGCCTAAATAAATAATAATAATTCGCTTTCAATCATAGACTCAATTATATGAGAGATATCTATAAGAAAAGAGAGATTCAATTAAGATAATGATTAATGGATTTGCCATAAAAATAATTCCTATCACAAAATTGGTAACAAAAGAGTAGTGTATTCTTCGCAGTGATAGCCGAAGAGAAAGTGATTTTTGATAACAAGAGAGCAAATAATAATAAAACATATATAATATATATAAAGTATATATTGTTATTGAGTTATAGGTAATCGAATTATTGACTTATTTTTTGCACCGTTATATTTAATACACTATATTCTTGTGTTATTTAATATCAAACACGAGTTTTACATTTGACTCCAAATTAATTAACAATAATATTTTGTTTAGTATTTGTGTTTAATATTAGATTATTATTAAAATCTCTGATTTTCCGGTTCTCATATCATTGAGGATTTATTTTTAGACATTTTTAATTAAAATAGTCTTTAGTTTATGGCATATTATTTTAGTTGATTTGTTAATAAGTTTATTAACATTTATATATAACGTTTAGTTCCAAATGTGTGTTACTATGCAATAAATGTATTGCGAAATAATTGAACATGGTAATAATTTAAAATCAATAAATTTATTGTTAATTTGTTTTTTATTTATAATATATAACATATATTACGATAAAGAGAGAGAATTGTCTTTAAAGGCATAGAGAAAAATGGATAATATATTATATATAATACATTTAAAAACTTTAAACTGCATTTATTTATATACAACATTGGCTTTTGTATTGTCCAGTATTGCCGAGTCTTTCAATCAGTAATTTCCGATTCATTCAAAAAAGTGATTTTAATTTCCAATTTTACTCTTTTTCTTATAAATTATATATAAAATTAACCAAAAAACAGTTCATTTCATATGAGTTTCAGTTTTTAATGAGTGATTTGTTTAAAGTTTTTAATGCTTTTGAAAAATTATGTTTAATAACTAACATATTTGCGAAATTTTGAGAGAGAGAGAGAGAGAGAGATTGGGTAATAGAAAAAGAAATAATAAATACATGAATTAATTAGTGTTTTTAAAAATACAATTATTTTAATTCATTAATTTTTAATTAAGATATAAACAAATAATTGTAGAATAAATTTAAAACAAGAATAAAGTATACAATTATAGTTTGAAAACAACTCAAAACACATTTATATAATGAAGTATACATTTATTAATTTAAATATTTAGTTAAAAAGTCGTTTTTTGGTTGTATTAATAATTAAAATTCATAAAATTTTCATTTTATATTATAATATACTTAATGATACAGTGATTAGTGGTACTATCAGTACTGTTATTGAAAATAATCAATTTTGATTTAAACAGTACTCAAGTTTTTTCGTTTACTTATTATTTTGTATACAGAATTGCATTTCTTATGTGTTTTCATGTTTTTAAAATGTATGTCATTTTAATACATATTTCTGTTTAAATTTCCAATTGTCTCAATTATTTGTGGTTTAATTACAATTGACATCATATTTGATTTGTTTTATTAGTTTCATATATCATATAACAAAACTTAAAAACATTGATAATAATAAATATTTTAATTTTATTTATAATTGCATCGAATGAATGAATGATATTTAGTATATTTAGTGAAAAATAACAATAAATATAATAATAATTTTGTGTTTAAGAAATTGTTTGAAAAAATATTGAGAAAGAGATGGAGATATAGGGAAGAGATGTGTTATTCCGGGCACAGAATTTTTACGAGTGTCTCTATTGATATATTATTACCCAAAAGTTGCTTACATTTTACGTAAAGAATTGCTAATAATTGGAGAGAAAAAGCGAAAAGCATTTGATAGCAAGTAATTCAGGTGTAGGTTGTGTTTTGAAGTTTTGTTATATGATATATGAAATTAATAAAACAAATCAAATATGATGTCAATTGTAATCAAACCAAAAATAATT